TTCATATGTTTGTTGGCTGCCTGGATCTTCTTCCTTGGTGAAGTGTCTGTTCATGTCCTGTGCCCATTTTTTAATTGGGTTATTTGTCTTTTTCATGTAGAGGTGTTGTAGTTTCCTATATATTTTAGAAATGAGTCCCTTGTCTGATGTGACATTTCAAAAGATTTTTTTCCCATTCTGTGGGTTCCCCTTTTACTCTTCTGGTGAAGTCTTTTGATGCACATAAGTTTTTTGTTTGTTTTTTTTTAATGTTTTATTGTGAATTACATGATAGTTTACATGGGGGAACTTTAGGTTTACATTCATTCCATCGTATATCATCTCATTGCCAAGGTTCCAATCCCCTCCATGCATCATCAACCACTCAAAGGGTATATCCCAGAAACCCACCCCCTACACTTCCCCCTCCTCTCCCCCCAGTTTTCAGCCCACAGTCACTTTCCCCAAAGTCCCCAGTCACTTCATCACTCCTCGTCATCATCTCTGCCTCCATCTCAGGCATCTCTGTTTCTCTGGGTAGGGTCCCGCTCTCGGCTCTTCGCACATAAGTTTTTAATTTTTTAGTATGTCCCACTAATCTATTTAGTCTACTTTTGTTTGTGTGGTTTTCAAAATGTTTTGTAGTCTGTGTATTCTCTGAATTAGTGCCCTCACATGTGCCCCGATTGTTTCCTTGATGGCCTTCGTAATTCTGGGATTCACATTTAAGTCTTTAATCCATGTTGCATTGGTTTTTGTATTAAGTGTGAGGTGAAGGTCTTGTTTCAATCTTTTGCATATCATTTTCCACAGTCTAATGTTTAAGGAGCTCTGGTAGTGTAGTGGTTATGAATTGGGCTACAAACCACAAGGTCAGCAGTTTGAAACTACCAGCTGTTCTGCTGGAGAAAGATGAGGTTTTCTGCTCCCGTAAAGATTTACAGCCTTGGAAACCCTAGACAGGATCACACTATGAGTCAGAACTGACTCCACAGCACATAACAACAACAACAATAACGTTTTAAGGAAAAAAACTTAAGCAGGTAGAGAAAAGTGACAAAGAGAGAAGTGATAATGATGAAATTAATAGCTACCTGCTGAAAAGTGACTGGGTAGTAGAAGAAATAAAACATGAATTCACAAAGTTTCTAGAAACAAACAAGAATGAAACTACAACATACCAAAGTCTTTAGGATGTTGCGAAAGTGGTGGTGAGAAGACAATTTATTGCAATAAACACAAATATCCAAAAAGAAGAAAGAACCAAAATTAACACATTGACACAGCATCTACAACAATTAGAAACAGACCAACAGAGGGAACCTACAGCCACCAAAAGAAAAGAAATAATAAAGATTAGAGCAGAAATAAATGAGATAGAAAAAAGAAAAGCTATAGAAAGAATCAACAGGACAAGAAGCTGCTGGTTCTTTGAAAGGATCAACAAGCTTGACAGACCACTGGCAAACCTAACGAAAGAAAAAAGGGAGAAGACACAAATATCACGTATTAGAAACCACATGGGCGATGTCACAATGGAACCAAAGGAAATTATTAGGATAATAACCGAATACTATGAAGAGTTGTACTCCAACAAATTTGAAAAGTTAGAAGAGATGGATACATTTTTAGAAAAACATGACCTACTTAAACTTGGCTACGAACCGGGCTGTTAATTTTGCGGTCAGCAGTTCGAAACTACCAGCTCTTCCGCAGGAGAAAGATGAGGATTTCTGCTCCCATAAAGATTTACAGCCTCGGAAACCCTGTACATGGTCTCTATGAGTTCGAACCGACTCCATGGCACAAAGTAGCAACAACCTAAACTTACACAGAGTGAAGTAGAAAACCTGAACACACCCATAACAAAAGAAGAAATTGATCAGGTCATCAAAAAACTCCCAACCAAAAGAAGTACAGGTCCAGATGTCTTCACTGGTGAGTTTTACCAAACATTTAGGGAAGAGCTGTCACCAATTCTACTCAAATTATTCCAGAAGATAGAGGAGGATGGAAAACTTCCTAATACATTTTATGAAGTAAGGATAACCCTCGTACCAAAACCAGGGAAGGATGTCACTAAGAAAGAAAATTATAGACCAATATCCCTCATGAACATAGATGCACAAATTTTCAACAAAATCCTAGTCAACAGAATCCAGCAGCACATCAAAAAGATAATACATCATGATCAAATGGGATTCATATCAGGAATGCAGGATGGTTCAACATTAGAAAAACAATCAGCGTAATCCACCACATAAGAAAAAAGAAACGAACCACATGATCGTATTGATTGATACAGAAAAGGTATTTCACAAAATCCAACATCCATTCCTGATAAAAACACTCCACAAAATAGGAATTGAAGGTAAATTCCTCAACATAATCAAGAGCATATATACAAAACAAACAACCTACATTCTTTTCAATGGAGAGAAACTGAAAGCCTTCCCTCTGTGAACAGAAACCAGACAAAGATGCCCTTTGTCACCACCCCTTTGTCAACACTGTGCTGGAAGTCTTAGCAAGAGCTATACGGCAAGACAGAGAAATTAAATGCATCCACATTGGCAAAGAAGAAGTAAAACTCTATCTATTTGCAGATGATATGATCCTATACATAGAAAACCCCAAAGATTGAGTGAAAAAGCTACTAGACCTCACTGGAAGATTCAGCCAAGTGGCAGGGTTAAGATCAACATACAAAAATCAGTTGGATTCCTCTACACCAACAATGACAGTGCTGAAAAGGACATTAGGAAAGCAAGACCATTTACAGTGGCTGCCCAAAGGATGAAATATCTGGGAATAAATGTAACCAGAGAGACAAAGGAACTATGGAACTACAAAACACTACTACAAGAAACCAAGGAACCTACAAAAATGGAAGAATGTACTGTGCTCCTGGATAGGAAGACTTAACATTGTGAAAATGTCAATACTGCCCAAAGCAATTTACACATATAATGAAAGTAATTGTTGTTTTTGTTGTTAAGTATCATGGAGTCGGTTCCGACTCATAGTGAACCCTGCACAGGGTTTCTGAGGCTGTAAATCTTTACGGGAGCAGAATGCCTCATCTTTCTTCTGCGGAACAGCTGGTAGTTTCAAACTGCCAACCTTGGGGTTAGCAACCCGATTCGTAACTACTATGCTATCAGAGCTCCATAATGAAAGTAATAGCTAGCGTTTATTGATTGCTTATTTTGTACCCAATCCATGCTATTTTCAGTCACATCGTACATCTGTGAAAGTTGGACAATGAATAAGGAACAGCATAGAAGAATAATATTAAAAGTGCCATGCACTGCCAGAAGAACATACAAACGGTCTTGGGAAAAGTACATCAGCCAGAAGGTAGCTTAGAAGCAAGGATGGCTTCATATCTTGTACTTTGGACACGTTGTCAGGAGGGACCATGCACTGGACAGGAACATCATGTTTGGTAAAGTTGAGGGTCAACGAAACAGAGGAAGACCCAATAAGATGGACTGGCAGCGGCAGCAATAATGAGCTCAAACATAACAATTGTGAGGATGGTGCAAGGCCGGGCAGTGTTCTATTCTTTTGTACAGGGAGTTTCTATGAGTTGGAACTGACTCAACGGCGCCTAATAACAATAACATTATGTACCAGGCACTGTTCTATGTACTTGGTATTTTTGACTATGGATGGTCTAAGTAGAGCAATGCCTATTTCCTGTTACTGAGTTGTAATATGCAAGTCAAAAAAGATGAAGAAAAAAGGTTGTGGACTTTGTGTCCAGTAAACTGTGCCATTAGAATTATAACTTTAGTTATATCAGAAATAGGAAACCATTTTAATCAAACCTTTTCTATCTTCTGTGAACTTTGCTTCATTTTTCATCTAGTTTCTTTTATTAAGGTCCTATAATAATCCAACCTTCAGCATCCAGTTAAGGAAAGAGAAAGACTCCTTACTTAACCATAGTGTAAAGCATGAAGCAACTTATACCAGAATTTTTAAACCTTAAAACCAGCAAGTCCCTCCACACATAGTCCTGGTATGGTGCTGTAGGATAGGCACTGAACTGCTATAACTGCAAGGTCAAGCAGTTCAAACCCAACAACAGTTCCTAGGAAATGCCATACAGGATTGTTGAGTTAGAACCAACTCGATGGCACTTAACAACAACAAACAACAGTCTCTCCATGTCCCAAATCTCCATCTTTAGTCAAACTGTTATCCTTTCTTGTCATCCATGGAGTCCTAGTGTGGTACTGTGGGCTAATACACTGGACTGCAAAGTCAATTTGAATCACAAGTTCAAGCTCACCAGCCACTGCTTGGAAACACTATACAGGATTGCTATGGCTGGAAAAGACTCGATGTCACTTAACAACAATAACTTGTCATATATACTTTTATCTTCATACTACTCTGTGTTGTTTCTTCCCTAGTTCAACCTTCCACTGCTTCTCTTCGTCATAAATCCCTCCTCTCCATTGTTCTGGAACTTTGTTCATGATAAACTCCTCTTTCCTCAACATCTTTAAAGAACAATCTTCTACATTATGACTTTGTCTAAAGATGTTTCTCCAATGGAGGTCAGATGATAGGCTTAACACACTCCCAATGCCACTTCCAAATTACTGTCCCTCCATCCTGGAAATTGACTCCTGCTGTGGCACTGTTGGATCAGCACCAGACTGTGAACCATAAAGTCAGCAGTTCAAATCCTAGGAAAGCCTATACAGGGTTGCTCTGAGTCAGGATCAATTCAATGGCATTTAAGCACAACAGTAATCCGGGAAATACTGAGGTTCATCATGCTCAACTATTCCTCTTAATCTATGGTCATGCCCTCCATTTATTGACAACACTGTCACCTGACTAGGTACTTCTCTCTGTCCCAAATCCCACCATGATACTAAAGGGCACTGGAGGAAAATATTCTTCCTAACCCTGACAGAAATGGGGCAAATAATGAACACTATGCAAAAATCTCATCTGTTTTGTTTGCATTAGTACATAAGACCCGCTTAGGGAAAACTTACTGCATCAGATGTGAAGTATTTCAAGTCTTCAGTTGCTCCTGAAATATCCTTATGCACAAAGTCCACATTGTCTGGCCACTCTTCTACATGACTTACTTTCCATGAATCACGCCATTGCTTGTAGTTCTTCTTAGCCAGATCATGGTGATCTTTTCTTATTTCAAAACTTATGACTCGCCCTTTGGATTCAACTTAATTAATAAAAAACAATTTATGACATTTCAGAGTATGATTCAGTTTATAAAGAGTATCAAAAATTAATTTTGCAAGGGTACTACTTATATATGAAAAGATAATTCAAAGAGTTCAGGGTTACAAAAGTCTCTATCCCATCCCTGATCCCCAATATCGCTTTTCAGAGGAAGCCATATTACTAGTTATTACCCTTCCCAAGACTGTTTTTGTTGTTAAGTGCCATCAAGTCGGTTCCGACTCAGGATTTCCAAGTATGGTTTGAATTGCCAACCTTGTGGTTCAAACAGACCTTATAGTCCAGTGCTTATCCTACAGCCCACACCAGGACTCCCCTTCCCAAGATAGCAGGTGCTTATACCATGTGCAAGTATCTCTATTTTTAACACACATGTGGCATATTATACAGACTGTCCTGTATCTTCTTAATTACCAATACCATTTTAGAGAGTATGGACTTACCCCATTCTTTTTTAACTGTTATTATTTTACTTATGGTGTCCTGGTGTGGCACTGTGGGTTAATGCACCAGAGTGCAAAGCGATTTGAACTGCAAGGTCAGGGGTTCAAGTTCACCATCTGCTCCTTAGAAACCCTATACAGGGTCACTATGGGTCAGAATCGACTTGACGGAACTTAACAACAACAACATATTACTTATAGTGACTTTATAGGTCAGAGTGGTGCTGTAGGATAAGAACTGGACTGCTACTCCAAGGCCACTGGTTCAAACCTACCAGCTGCTCCTCAGAAACCCTATACCGGGTCTCTATGAGTTGGAACTGACTCAACGGCACTTAACAACAACAACATAGGACAGAGTAGAACTGCTCAGTAGGATTTCTGTTGTTGTAAATTTTTGTGGAAGCAGACAGCCTTCTGTTTTCTCCCAATGAGTAGCTAGTGGGTTTAAATTGCCAACCTTTTCTTCAGTAACCCAGCGTTCAACCCAGTGTGCCACAAGGAGTTCTTATACTTAACCAGTCACCTTCCGATTAATGTTTAGCTTGCTTCCAATCTTCCAGTCTTATAAATAATACTAAAATGAAAACTCTTGTGCCTAAGTTTTTATACACATGAGCCACTATATCTAGAGAGAAAAATCTTAAAAAGAAATGACTGATTAAAGAAGTATGTGTATTTTTAATTTGAAAGTTATTAACAAATTGTCCAATTCAGATTTTTGTGTTACTCTAAAAATAAATAGAGTTTATTATTATACAGTAAAACCTACAAAAGCTGGAAGCTGTGAAATGAGGAGGCCTGTTCACAGAAGGAAAACTCGCATATTTTTCACTAAAAGGAGCAATAGAAAAGTACTAAGACTGTACACTTGTCAGAGCCAGAAAACGTGTGAGACCCAGAAATAGGGTAGTTCTGTCAAGGCCTTTCATTGCTTTTCTTTCATAAATTTTTTAACTGTTTTGTTTTCATGACAAAAGAACTTTCCAACTGTTTTGCATAGTACTGGAGTTCCTGGGGAGAATGCTACACTTTAAAGCCATTAGTCTTCCACCCGCTTCTTTCTGAGCTTACTGGATACCACTGGGAGGCTGTGTCAGCTCAGTCTGTACTGTACTAATTCACTTTGAATTCAGAAATGTCTTCTGAAACATAACTTCAGCTGCAATTCCTTATTTTCTCAGGAGATAAAAATTAATAGTTGTTGTAAAGTTGTAAAGTGCCATCAAGTCGATTCCGACTCATGGCGACCCTGTGTTTCCAAGGAGCAGCTTAACCTTTCAGTAGTAGCTTAACATAAACAATTGCAGGAAAAAAAGCTTATGGAGGGGACACTATCCATTCCAAAGTTAAACAGCAATAATTTCTTGACCAGCCATGTTGTTGTTGTTAGGTGCCATTGAGTCTAGTCGGCACCGACTCATTGCAAACTTATGCACAGCAGAACAAAACACTGCCCGAACCTGGGCCAACCTCACTACTGTTGCCACCCTTGAGTTCATCTTGGTGGGAGGTCTTCCTCTTTTTCTCTGACCATCCACCTTAACAAACATGATATCCTTCTCCAGCGACTGGTTCCTCCTGACAATATGTCCGAACTATGAGAGACAAAGTTTAGCCATCTTGGCTTCCAAGGAGCACTCTGGCTGCACTTCTTCTAAAATGGTTCTTTTGGCAGCCCATGGCACTTTCAATATTCTCCTCCAACACCATAACTCAAAAGCATCAATTCTTCTATGGTCTTCCTTATTCACTG